TTTAAGGTAATTATATACTTTTGAGGTCCTCTCGTTTTTTGGCTCAAAAAAATCGAAAAATCATCCGATTTCGATGAATTTTTTTAAAATCTTTAATTTTATGACGGATTTATGAAAAAAAATATGGAAAATAACTCACCTGAAGATTTCATATAGCTTTATGACTTTAGATGTGATCATAAACACACTTCTTCGAATATAATCGTCCATAATTTTTTGCAAAGCATTAAACGAAGTTTATATGTTTTCTTTGTTAATCTACACAAAAAACGAACATTTAAAAAACATTGAAAATGTTTGCTTATTAATTTTTTATCCCACTTAAAGTTTTTATATGGTTTTCTGACTTTAAATGTTATTGTTGCGAGCTTAGGGTTTGTGATAATAAAAACTGAAGGTTGAATTACCAAAAATTGACAAAATTGACACTTTAATTACCGAACACCAATTAAAGCTTAAAACACACTAATAATTAATTACACTCAACACTTTATTTCAATTCTAAGTCTTCACTTGTATCGCCAATTCAATACTGCCCCGGTTGCAGCCGTAAACGGCTTTATATAGGCCTTTTCCACCGAAACATCTAGAACGTTTCAGCAAATATCAGTCTCGACCAAGAGTAGAGAATTCGAGTGTGGAGTTTTCTAGAAAGCTTATTTCTTCTGTTCGATACTAGATGGCGCTAATGACTACCCGCCATATACCGGGCATTAATTGTGGCGCGCAAGGAGATCGCCATTCCTTCGTGGTTATCCGTGCTTCCCTCGACTGCGCTATGTTGAGTGGCGTGGTGCTTCTCTCTCCCAGCTCTCTCCCAAACAAAAAAACATTAATAAACAATCATTTTCAATGTTTTTTTTTAATATTAATTTGTATATATAATTATAAATAATAATATAAATAATTAAATTTTAAACAACTTCATTCGATTATTTGTAAAAAAATTATTAACAATTATACGTGAAAAAGTGCATTTTCATGAACACTGAAACCAATATAAGTTTTAATTTTTTTAATATTTCTGATTTTTTTCGTAAAACCGCCGTAAAAATGAAGATTTAAAAAAATCATCGAAATCGGATGATTTTTAGATTTTAAAAAACGAGGGAACCGCGGTAGTATAAAATTGCCTCATTTAAGGACGCGTTTACAAAATTGATAGGTATAGAATCGCACTACTACATTGACAAAAGTCACACACACACTAGTGTACGCACGGTTGGCTGTGGGAATCGTAGTCAAATGAAATTATTTTGATAATTTGAAAGATTGAATTTGTTTTTCATTTCTTATACCTACCTCAGAAATATACTTCGATACGAAATACGAATACCTGCTCCAGAAACTGCTTGGCACTGGAAGCCCTCTACTGGTAGTGAGATATTAGCTCTGGACTTTGAACTGGTTTTGTCAGTTATAATAAGACCTTACCTACCTGCGAACTTGATGGAGTGACCTGAAGGTGTAATTTGGTGATTACAACAGGAACTCCTAGACTAGTGGAACTAGGTGTGCCGAGTTTGGGTTCGTTTTGTTGGTTATGATGAGACCTTACCACCGGACTTGATGGAGTGACCTGAAGGTGTAATTCGGTGATTACAAGTGGAACTCCTAGACTAGTAGAACTAGGTGTGCCGAGTTTAGGTTCGTTTTGTTAGTTATGATGAGACCTTACCACCAGACTTGATGGAGTGACCTGAAGGGGTAATTCAGTAACTACTGCTGGAATTTCTGAACGAGTAGAACTAGGTGTGCCGAATTTGGGCTCCGTTTTGTTAGTTATGACGAGTCCATACCTCCGGACTTGATGGAGTGACCTGAAGGTGTAAATCGGTGATTGCAACTGGAACTCCTAGACTGGTAGAATTAGGTGTGCCGAGTTTGGGTTCGTTTTGTTAGTTATGATGAGACCTTACCACCAAAATTGATGGAGTGACCTGAAGGGGTAATTCAGTAACTACTGCTGGAATTTCTGAACGAGTAGAACTAGGTGTGCCGAATTTGGGCTCCGTTTTGTTAGTTATGACGAGTCCATACCTTCGGACTTGATGGAGTGACCTGAAGGTGTAAATCGGTGATGGCAACTGGAACTCCTAGACTGGTAGAACTAGGTGTGCCGAGTTTGGGTTCGTTTTGTAGGTTATGATGAGACCTTACCACCGGACTTGATGGAGTGAACTGAAGGTGTAGTTCGGTGATTACAAGTGGAACTCCTAGACTTGTAGGACTAGGTGCGCCGAGTTTGGGTTCGTTTTGTTAGTTATGATGAAACCTTACCAACAGACTTCATGGAGTGACCTGAAGGGGTAAAAAATAGAAATAGAAACTTTTTATTCAATGTAGATTATAAAAATACTTATTGAAGGTCACTTTTTATTTACCACTAAAAAAACCTCTCCTGAAGGACCCGGGACTATTTTTTTCCAATAATAGCTCCAATAATTCAGTAACTACTGCTGGAATTTCTGAACGAGTAGAACTAGGTGTGCCGAATTTGGGCTTCGTTTTGTTAGTTATGACGAGTCCATACCTCCGGACTTGATGGAGTGACCTGAAGGTGTAAATCAGTGATTGCAACTGGAACTCCTAGACTGGTAGAACTAGGTGTGCCGAGTTTGGGTTCGTTTTGTAGGTTATGATGAGACCTTACCACCGAACTTGATGGAGTGACCTGAAGGTGTATTTCGGTGATTACAAGTGGAACTCTTAGACTTGTGGAACTAGGTGTGCCGAGTTTGGGTTCGTTTTGTTAGTTATGATGAGACCTTACCACCAGACTTGATGGAGTGACCTGAAGGGGTAATTCAGTAGCTACTGCTGGAAATTCTGAACCAGTAGAACTAGGTGTGCCGAATTTTACTCCATCAAGTCCGGTGGTAAAATCTTATCGTAACTAACAAAACGAAACCAAACTCGTCACACCTAGCTCTACTAGTCTAGGAGTTCCATTTGTAACCACCTCATTACACCTTCAGGTCACTCAATCAAGTCCGGTGGTAAGGTCTCATCGTAACTAACAAAACGAACCCAAACTCGGCACACCTAGTTCTACAAGTCTAGGAGTTCCACTTGTAATCACCGAACTAAACCTTCAGGTCACTCCATCAAGTCCGGTGGTAAGGTCTCATCATAACCTACAAAACGAACCCAAACTGGGCACACCTAGTTCTACCAGTCTAGGAGTTCCAGTTGCAATCACCGATTTACACCTTCAGGTCACTCCATCAAGTCCGGAGGTATGGACTCGTCATAACTAACAAAACGGAGCCCAAATTCGCCACCCCTAGTTTTACTCTGCAAGAAGTTCAAATAGCGGTCACGAAAGTACACCTTCAGCTCACGCCATCAAGTCCGGAGGTAAGGTCTCATCATAACCAACAAAACGAGCCCAAACTCGGCACACCTAGTTCCGCTCGTCCAGGAGTTGCAGTAGTAGGTAAGTTTATATATCCTACTTATTTTTAGCTAAATGTGAGTATAAAAATAATAATTTTATCACTTGTCAAGTACTTATGTTTCCAATTTGTTTTTTTTTTCTAATATTTTGTGTATGTACAGCGATCTTTTCAGAATGAGCCGCTGCAAACAGGCGATACAGTGTCCACTCACGACGGCGGCCGAGCGCGGACTGTGGTTTCATCGAAATCTTTGTACAATAAATCAAAGCAGGCACCAACAATAAAATAGCCCTTATTGCAATAGATTATGATTTATCCGTATTAGCAAAATATGTGAAAAAATGTGCATCAGTTTTTATTTTTTCTACGACTATTTGTGACATTATGATAAAAAATAAACACAGGGTTTTTAATTGAATATGTCTGTCATCTTATAGTATTTTTTTAAATTTTTTAAATATGTTGATAATAGACCAAAACATGTACCGAAACACAAGCCGGTATCGTTAATTTTGTAGAAAATGGCGACGAAAGTTCGTTTTTACAATATAAAAAACTACTATTTTCAACAAAAGAGTTACAGACGTTTGCAGATGAAGAACCAATCTATACATGGTAGTTTTTACTTATATTTGATTTGGTTTAGTTTTGTCACAAAATCTCCCGAAAAACACCCTAATTTTGGTTGATTTGCAAACGCGTCCTTAACGCATAAATATGTAACTTAGACCTCATTAAATGTTGAGCAAAATCGGTCGAGTCGTTTTTGTGTCGAATGAATAATTGTATAAAATATTTATAACATAATATGATATTTTTTTATTATTTGCACTGGGAAGTTAGTCATGTGACCTTTCGGGTCGCAACTAGACCTCATTTATTAATTTTAAATTCAAATAATATGATATTCCTATTGAAAGTTGAAGAGGATGTAGACCCATAGGTAGTCAAAGTATGGTTTGACGGCTCCGTGGCATAGTGGCTGAGCAATAAGTTGCGGCGCAGAGGGACGCGGGTTCGAATCACGCACGGAACAAGTATTTGCACGAACTAGAAATAATTGTTCCAGGTCTGTATTTGTCCTTGTGAAATTTGTGTATGTGAACTGCCTCCACGATATAGGAGAAAATCCTAGTGAATTGGGGGTGACTTTATATAATTAATAAAAAATAAAGCATGTGCCATAATAAAATTACACAAAAAATTACGAAAATTAAAAGTTAAAGCTGAGCCGCATCTTCAATAAAACATGAATAAAAGTGTTGTAAACCGAGTAAACCAGTCCTTAAAGGAAGTACCTGTTCACAAGTACGACGCAAATGGCTGTCCTCATTCTCCTCGACCATTTTAGAGAGAAGTAGACGATGTGTCACGCGACACCGTCGCAAGCCTTTATGAGAGCTTAACATACCCGAGTCTATCATACACTAAGATCATCATAATAATCAATCGTTAAGGATAGCTGTTAAAAATGAAGCTGACGCATCTGCAATTCCCCTGGTGTTGCAGTTGTTCATGGGCAGCAGTCGGCACCTTCCATCAGGTGCGCCGCGTGCCCTGTAGTGTGGTGTGAAATAGTAGCGTGGTGATCTGATGCAGATGTACGCGGGCGCGGGGCTGGCGACGGCAGCGCGGCTGAAGTGGGACCCCAGCACGTACATCGCGTTGCGCGAAGTGCTGCCTAACGAGTACCGCGTCGCTGCCGTGCTGCTGGTGGTGGGCAGTGTGGTGCTTCTGTTGCAGGGTCATCTGGCGTTGCTCGCGCTGTACGCTCGGCGCGCGCGCTTTCTGCTGCTTCTCACGGTTAGTGGACACTGGCGTCTGCTTGACATGGATATTTTCTAGGTGGATTTGCCGTATCGGACCAATAATCTCCTTCATTAAGCTCTCAGAGAATACCAACTCAAAGCTGCTGTGTTTCGTATGGTGAGTGTGAGAACCGGAGACCCTTTTTACTGGCATTCCATCTTAGTCCTCAGGGGTGAGAACGCATCTGCATTTTAATTTTTAATAGAGGACAGATGTACGTACATGTCTATGGGTCAAATCATCCAATTACCATTGGGTATTTTATGTAAAAGAAACCTAAGCTAAAGTCCGTCAACACACACTAGAGCAGTGCAGCAGACTTTCTTGCTACATCGGGATTTAGAACAGGTCTATTTTCAGCAATGGGATGGATGTAAGGTGATATTTTATAGCAGCGTTGTACGTTGCAGTACGCGGTGCTGATGGCGTGCGCGGTGGGCGGCGAGACTGCGTTTGCGTGGTGGACAGGTACGCGCGTGGCAGCCTGGGCCCGCTCGGCGCAGGCGCACGAGCTGCGGCGCGCGCTGCAGCTGCGCGAGCATCTGCTGCCGCTGCTGCAGCACCTCGCGACCTGGCACCCGCTGCCGCAGCACATCCACGACATCATCAAGGTGCGCACACCCTGTCCTAGCTAAAAGAGGTCACTCGACAGCTCTCCACTTCTAGATAAATAGAGCAGTTCTCAAAACAAAAGGTTTTCTATTTGCATTGCATTTGTAAAGCCAATAAAGAAGGGTGTTTTTGTTTTTACTTTTACTGTATTTATTTTATATCAGAAAAATATTTCATTCCGCCATTGCATCTTAGTTCTCAGTAGTGACAGCACAACCTTCTTTGTTTGAATTTGCTTTATCGCACATCTCTTTCACTATTCCACCACAGAAGCTACAACGCTAGATGCAGGTATCTATAAGATCACATAATTCACTTCTTATTAGGTGAGGTCTTACTTCTAAGTCTATCACGCAGAGAAACCCCGAGCATAACCCTTTCCATAGCCCCAAGAGCGACTTTGAGCGTCCTCATACGGCCAGCAGTGAAGGACCTCTTAATTTATCAAATGCAAAATAACGAAAAGTGATCCCGATAATACTACAGGTAAACTATTAATGAATTTACTTTTAGATTTTTAAATTAGATCTGATTTAGGAGTAAATAAATAAAATGATGGGTGGCGCTCTTATGTATAACTCTAAGTGTGTTTTTTTGCAATACCTGTAAAGGTTGCTAAGTGTTGAGCACTATGTATAATTTACAATCCAATTATACATTCATTATTATTATAATTTTATTGTTGTATGTACCTTGTGTTAAGTTATGTTATACAATCTGACATTTTAAAAGATAAACTTCCTGTGGGTTTCGTGCGCCATTTTTTCTCATAGATGTATGTTCCTTCCGAATCAGTGGTATTTTAGATTGACTTTCAATAAGTTGTACGATGAATTATGAATATAATTATAAATTAATTAATTCCGTTGAATAAAATATTTGAAGTTTAAATCATTAATACTAAAGGGGGTGAATTCCGGCGGCCCCGGGCAGCGAAAACGCACGATACGCCACTTTCCAAAGATACAAAAATTTATTCGCACAACGAGTACGACACTAACATGCAGAAGCAGCGCAAGTACGAGGTCCCTACAATAAACTCGTCGGTGAACAATATCGTCGACTTGACCTACCACAACTCTTTACTGAGCGGTCGATGCGAAATCAAACAATCAAACAAACAAAAAAAAAAGATCCAAACGGACAAGCAGGAGATCGAAAAGAAACTATTCTTTCTTCATGAACACCAAGTACTACCGTCACCTATTTCAAGTCATGACATCCACCAATATATTATTTTTTACACCTTGTTTGGAGCTGCTGTACTGGGATGTCTGGTGTGGATCATCAGGAAGCGTAACTTACTATACTGCAAGCCGGGGGCAGTACAAGACAAGGACATCGAAATTCAGCATCAAGGGATGACGTCTCTCTTGCGGCGAGCTACGCGTGCAGCGCCGAAGCAGGCGCCCACACCACAGACGCACGCCGCGCTCTCTACTGGGATGACAGCGGCGGTGGACAACGTCAAATTCAACTTCGATAGTTAAAACTTTTAATACTTTGCTTTGTGCTGGCATATAACTCTCAAATAAAAGTCCTTGAGAGTTAACTGTAATTTCTTTACTTTTCGGGTGGCCAATATGTATGGTTACGACACACATTTTTATTTAGTAAACGCTGCAACCTACTTTTAGCCGCGCGTCGCGTGTATTTAAATTTACTTATTTGATTGGAAACTTACGATCCGCAGTACGTCAACAACCGTCCTTCTAAACACCAACTACTCAAGGAAAGATTTGCCACTCTAACTTTATAACTATTTTACTTTTTAATTAAACCTTTAACTTTGCTGATCTTTTTCTTTTGACGTGCACATCAACAAGCTACAACTTCTTAAAAGTGTGTGGCCTTACAAACCGTATATGTATAGCGCGGTATCTAAGAACTTTGATAGCGTGATATAGACTTCGGCGCGTTTCGCTTGCGGCGTGACGACGATGCCGCCACACCTTAACATGCTCGGTGATTCTATTCTTAGCGATGTTGAGCCTGGGCATTTGTACACAGGAGGCGGAGGCGGACGTGCCTCGCAACTCGTACGTGGCGCTGGCGGCGGTCGCCTTGCTGGCGCTGCTGCAGCCCGTCGGCGCCGCGCTCGCGCTGCTGCTCGCCGCACGCGCGCGGCTGTCAGCGCCCGGCGCCAACTACTCGTGCGCACACTCATCCTTACCTTACCTTTACAACACGTAACAGTACATGGTAGCACGAATGAATCGTTTCGACGAGGGAAGAACCACACTCTCACAGAGTACCTGCAAAATATTTTTTTATAGAAGAGTAGGCAAACGAGCATGTGGCTCACCTGATGGTAAGTGACTACCGCCGCCCATGAACAACCACAACGGGGAAATTGCAGATGCGTTGCCGGCCTTTCAGAAAGGAGTAAACTCTTTTCTTGAAGGTCCCTAAGTCGTACCGGTCTGGAAAAATCGCCGGTGGTAAACAATTCCACAGAGAAGTTGTACGAAGAAAAAACTTCTAGTAAAACGCACAGCAGTGGACCGCAATGTCAACGCCGAGGATTTCGATGTTAGCTGAGGCAGCAAGGGGAGGGCCTTGAAACTGAGGAAATACGACCAAGGAGTTCTTAATGATTTCTTAAATTTATTATTTAATTAATTAGTTTTATTCAAGGAGTTCTTTTTAGCGGTAAACGCTTAAACTTGTGTCTTCTGGAAATTGAAATGGACTGGTACTAGTAATCAGAGAATGCACCGTCTACTACGACCTTGATGCTCCGATTAGCAAGACATCTGCTAATGCCTCCCCCCTCGGTCTCTACTGCTTCCCTTATTCCATGAGTCAGATAGATCACCAGCTGATCGACCACGGCGAAAACCGTATTAGCGGTCATTAATCAGCTAGTGATCCTCAAGGTACCTCATGATAATGGACTCTATTATTTTGGAGAACAAAGAGGTGATGGCGATAGGTCTGTAGTTGGACGAGTCTGAGTGGTCACATTTTTAGGGATCCGGTGGAGCAAAGTTGTCTTCCATGAATTCGGGACTATGCCTTGGGAGTAGGAGTACCGGAAAAGACCGCCAAATATTTGATTATAGTGCACGAGTGTATGCGCAAGCCCAGGTGCTCTCTCTATTTCCTCACTCTCATAGTCCCATGGGATATTTATTTATATATAGATTTAAGACACTGTGTGCTGATTGCTTCAATACTTACATTAATTCCATCGAAGAAGGACTTAAAAAGGACATTAAATTATTTTGGTCCTTTGTTAATAATCGAAAAGGTAAAAGCGGAATACCTAACGTAATGACTTATAAAAAAAAAATCTGATACACCAGAGGGTATCTGTGAATTATTTTCTGAAATTTTCAGCACCGTATATGAAAATAGACAGCAGTTACAGCAAGAGAATTATAGTAGCCAGTCTACTAATACCAACTCTGAGGTTATTTCAAATATCTCCTTTTCGGAGGATAGCATAGTCAAAGAGCTTATGTTACTCGTTATTACCAAGGGACCTGGACCTGACAGCCTTCCACCATTTTTTCTAAAACACTCTGCCGCAGCTATTAGTGTTCCCTTGTGTCTTATATTTAACCAATGTCATAGTGAAGGGACTGTGCCCCAGATATGGAAGAACACTAATATAACACCAGTTTATAAGAGTGGGTGCAAAAACGATGTTTCTAACTACCGCCCTATATCTTTGCTATCAACCATACCGAAGGTTCTTGAGAGGTTAATACATAAGCAAATTTATCCTATATTACATAACATAATTATACCTGAACAACATGGATTTGTAAAACAGCGATCAACAACAACTAACCTTGTTCTTTACACAAATTATCTTTTTTGCTGCAAGGATAACCGTCTGCAAGTAGATGCAATTTACACTGATTACTCTAAGGCCTTTGATAAGGTTGATTATAATATACTTTTAGAGAAATTAGCGTTTAACGGAATACGAGGAAACTTGTTAAGATGGTTTTCATTATACTTTCTAAACAGATATCAACGGGTTGTGATTAATGGTTTCTCATCCAATATCATAAATGTCAGCTCAAGCGTACCGCAAGGTTCTATTCTTGGGCTTTTGCTTTTTATATTATTTGTGAACGATATCGGTGATTGTTTCTGTTTTACTAACTTTCTTCTTTATGCCGATGACCTTAAAATTTATCACAGTGTCAAAAGTGTCGAAGATTGTGACAAAATACAATAAGACCTAAATCGCTTGGCAGGCTACTGTATAAAAAATAAACTTCACTTAAGTACATCAAAATGCAAACATATCACTTTCACAAAAAAAATTAACCTTATTAAATATACTTATAAACTTAACTGTGTTTCGTTGGAATCAGTATCTTTAATTAGGGATCTACGATTGTATTTGGACTCGAAACTACACTTTGATGAACACGTAACGCACATAACCAATAAAGCCTTTCAACTTTATGGTTTTGTTATGCGGACATGTTCTTTCTTCAAACATCCCACCACATTTTTAACTTTATATAAAACTCTACATATGCATCAGTTACATGGAGTCCAATATATAGTAAATATAGTTTACAGTTGGAGGAGGAGTTAACGTGTTCAACGAAAATTTTTAAAATCTACAATGTACAAATGCTTTAAAAGTAATTCTAATGAATGTTATGTACTTTTATTAAGAAAATTTAGTGTTCTTTCTTTAGAATCGAGAAGGATGCTCTTGGATCAAACTTTGCTTTACAATATCTGCCATAACAAATTTGATTGTAAGTCGCTCGAAGCGTATACGTGAGCTCCATTCACATCAAATTTTCGCTCCGAAACCAAGTAAAACAAATGCAGGTGCACGTGCACCTCTAAATCGTATAATGGAATTATACAACAACAAATTTAATGATATAGATATCTTTGGATTAACTTCTTCTAGATATAAAAAAGCAGTGTATGAGGTTCCATCTGAATTTGATGCAAGTGAATGTAATTGCTTATTTAGGTTAAATTTAATTTTTCACATCTATGTATTATCTATATATGTGTATGTATGTATATGTTTGTATATTGTGTGTGTGTGTGTGTGTACATGCGTGCACATGTACATGCATATGTGTAAATTAGCTTGTTTTTCTCTGTATTTATTGGTGAACGGGTCGTTTTTAATAGAACATTACATGTACACAGATCCAGTAGTAATATGTGAATAACGGTGTTGATTGTATGATTATTAAGCTTAAATATAGTATTGTGTTTAATAATAAGATTATATTGTACAATTGTTTGTTATCCCTAATAAAGAGAAAAAAAATATTAATATCTTTTCAAAATAGTGTCCATTTACATCAATACAGCACTGCATCCGAGGAACCACTGAGAAAAGCACTTTGCCCACTCGTTCTTAGGGGTCTCTTCGACGATATTTTGAAACGCAGCCATTGCTTCCTCGGCGTCCATAAAACGTTTTCTTCGAAGTTTTTCTTTTATTTTCGGAAATAAATAAAAATCGCAAGGTGCGAGGTCGGGACTATATGGCGGAGACGAAGTAATTCTACGTCTGACGTCGCCAACTAGTCGATTGTTTGCTTGGCGGTGTACGACAAGGTGTTGTCGTGGTGAAGGAGGATTTGACTGCGAGGTCGTTTCTCCCGAATTTTTTCAAGATAAGTAGCAATCAATTGTGTAACATCCCGCAGTAACTGTTTTTAGATCCTCTAAAACGGTTGTTGTGTAATGACCTGTTTTTCCGAAGAACAAGGCCACCATCATTTTCCCCCACGCTTCGACTCCTCACTTTAGTTGGCAACTCCTCGGATGGAAACACCCAGACAGCTGACTGCCTCTTAATTTCAGGATCATAACAATAAATCCAGCTTTCCTTATCGGTAAGTACGTCGAACACAGCATTTGAGTCACCTCCGTTAAATCTTTGCACCATTTCACGACACCAATCAACACGAAAGAGTTTTTGGGCCTATGTCAAATTATTAGGTATCTACCGTGTACAAAGCTTCCAAGTAATGCTTCAAAGCAAAGATTTTGTGCCTTTGACTCATACCGATGCCTAAGCTTGTCACTGTTTTGTCAGTCTCTAGCATACGCCGCACAACACTGAAGTTATCTTCAGTCGTCGCCGTAGAAGGCCGCCCTTCACGCAAATAATCGGTGAGATTAGTGCGACCACACTTAAACTCATTAAATCGGTTGTAAACAGTAGCACGAGATGGGGTTTAATCGTGAAAGGTCAATCGAAGTCTATCATAACTTTCTTGTTGACTTAAATGACATCGAAAGTCATAAAACATTATTGTACGAAAATTTCCTTGCGTTAAATTCATGCTGACGTGACACAGGCAATTTTTAATTTGCCGCCAAATCGTAAACAAATGACAAATTAATAAAATAAATACACAATAATATTGGTAAAAAGTTCCATTTTCGAAATTTGAACTTATTTTTTCATTATGTCGTTTACAAGTGGCCAGTTCTAAAAACTTTCAGTGTCACCCTCGTAATATTAAATATTTACAATAGAACTTTAAAACTAAAAACTATCCTATTTTACTTTGATACAATAACAACAGAAACTAAAAATAGCGAGTTCTACCTCCTCTTCCAAAGACATCTTGACAATCACTATAGTTTTATTAATCTGTGTTTTATTAATAGTCGGGCTTAAGAGATACAATCTCTTTTAAACGTTAGCAAAAATTTTTGTAGTAGTTGTTCGGGATGCGGGGGATATTTTTGTTGGTCTTCATTGGCGTAGACATAGGCTGTTCTCATAGTTGAGAAGATATTCCGTTAATCAATATTGATTTTTTTAATGATTACTTACTTTGATTTGTTTGTATTCTACATTGATTTGTAGATACTGTAATGAAGGGAAGATTCCGTAGCAAGCTAATCGATCGCAGTTCTATACACCGCTCTAGATAGTTGTGTTCTGGCTCGAAGAATACTTACAACTACTATAGTAACAAACTGTAAGGAATTCCGGCTTACATAGCAAATATAATGACTGATGTCCACGGGCTCCCAGCATGGGGTGAGCTCTCGGCTTCGTTAGACACACTTAAAAGTTGTAATAAGGTTTTAGTTAAAGTGTTACTCTATGCAGTAAATACGTGTAATAATAGTATTTTATACTTGGTAGAGCGATGTTGAAGATACCTTGTAGCTGTAGCACGATCGGGTACGCTCGACCGGGAGGGACCGTGCTCCCACATTATACCTGCTAAGTAGCAGCCAGATTCTGCTGCACTTCGTATGCCGAGCGTAGAGAACTGGATAATCCTTTGTACTTGATACCAGGTATTCCATCTTAGTCCTCAGGGGTGACAAAGCATCTGCATTTTAACTCTTTTTGATAATAGCTGTAGATGTCTATGGGCCACGACATCCACTTATCATCAGGAGGACTGTGTGATGAGTTGTCGCCCTGTGTTATTATAATTCTCTATAACGTTGTATTTCAGAGACGAGAGCGAGACGCGGCCGCTGCGCACCGTGTACAAGAACGGACGTCTCGTGATGCTGTAACGTTAGCGACACTTGCTGGGGCCTGCTCGCTCCGGTTTCTTAGACTGTTACGTGAAATGGATTTGTTTAAAGTCCTTTGTTGGACTGTCTGATTTTTGATAAGTTTTAATTTGACATTAAAAGCGTTATAGTCTACGAATTCTGTTTTGAATTGAAGAAAAGTTTTGATAATACGTGTGTGCATATAACAAAACAAAATAACAAAACTAATTTTTATTGATTGTTTGTTAGTTGATGTAAAATATTAGTATTAGATTTACATTCTTGGTAAATCTTTTCTGAAAATCTTCTTGAAGTGAGTTTGTGATGTGTAGGTAAGTTATATTTGTATATTACCATAAAATAGCGATTAAAATGTGGTGGTGACGTTAGAGAAGTCATCACCCTATATCGTCAAAATATGTAGGTGTCGTCCAAGGAGATTATGGATGATGTCAGAAAGGTACGATGATCTCTGATGGATGACGCGGAATACAAATTTTGTTTACGCCAGACATAAAACACCTAGACCGGCGGTGGAAAATGGAGTGCACAGCGTGAGATGTGTGTTACTGCGAGCGCCAGCCAAGCGTGGCGATTATAGCAAACCCTCGATACAACGATTAATGTTTTTGTTAATAGTATTTTACGGGCTGATGAAGACGAAAACGCCATCGCCATGTACCTACATACGAGTCACTTTAGGGTTTACCCATCGTTATAAACATGATCCATCCATTTGTTGTAACCTATTAAAGTCCACTGCTGAACGTGGGCTCCTCCTATGGATTGCCCACAGACTGTCAAAGTTGCTGCGCCTGGCAGAGGTGTTGATGCAGCAGCTTTTTGTAACTTAAAATTTGAGTCGTTAACGGAAAGATCAGTTGCCATCTCCTGTTTTACTTCCCATCGGTTACCTCTTTGGACACTTATGGAACGATAAGTCATAGGGGATATTGTTACATAACCTAGTGGTTGATGTATTATGTCACCGTCTAGTGACGGTGACATAATACAAGACATGATGAAAAGGTTTAAATGAAACATATGTAGGCGGCCGACATCTGTCAGTACGTATTTATTTATTCTGTGATACCGTCAGAAGTTTCTTTTATATGGGAGGGACAGCATGACCTGATGGTAAGTGACTTCCGCCGCACATGAACAACTGCAATACCTTTTAAAAGGAGTAGTCTTAAAGGTTCTTGAATGGGACCTATGAAATATAATGCTTATTACATTTTTTTAAATAAATCTTGCATAATATGAAATTTACGGCGAAGGCCTGAGCCCTCGGCTGTCGCAGTATGAACAATGAAGCAACTCGCTTGTGTGATTATACTCGCACTTTGGATACCATCTGATTCTCTACTAACTCTTCTAGGACTGAATGTAATAAAAGAACATGTAGCTGTTTTGAATTTCTTTTAGTTTTTTTTCTGTACAAAAACGTCATTAAATAGAATTTGTCACTATACATTAAAGGTGATGACCAAACAGTAATACCTTTCCGCATTGTAATATTTTTGGCCGCTTCGTACCACAATAATAGTATTATTAAGCTATCAGGAGTATTGTTATAATATTTGTTCTTTATAATAGTTGTTCTAATTATTATATTAATAGTATGGAGATACTATAGAATGCAGAATTAGAAATACGAAATCAATAAATAAAACTCAAAAAATAATACAATTATTGATTTAGATTGTGACAATTACAATATCTTTTGCTTTATATGTACTTTTGTAATTTTTTGTATTTTAGTAATGAAATATATATATACATATAAAGCGTTTTTTATTTTCTAAAAATTCACAATATTGTTGTTATACCGCGGAGTAGGATCATGTACCTACCTATCTACTTAACTAGGTTAATGGTAAATAAAGTTATTTAAACATCTAGGAGTAGTGAGAGCTGGAAAGCACCCGAAACGTCGGGTATTAAAATTTAATATAAATAAAACGCGATAAAATCCGTAAAAGTAGTTTTAATCAATGTATAGTGTTCGCGTAAATATAAGAAATCATTATCTAGGAGTAAGTAGGAATTTTCCAGATGCGCACTACTTTGACTCACTTTCATGTTTTGGGTTGAAGGTTGAGATGGAAAATTAAAAGTATGAAGCATTCCAGTTCACTCTTGGAGATGCTCATAGTGAGCACTTAAGCTCTGACGGACGACAACTCACCGTAAATCTTCGTCGCTTAGAATTTTCCTCTGTTGTCCCTGAACCTGAAATAGAGTGGCCCCTTATCTTGTCACCAGGTGGTTTGGTCTCACATTCTTTCTATTCTATACTTACAAATTCTTTCTTGAAGCATCAAGTAATGGAGTAGCGTAGAATGGAAAGGTTCTGTTCCCAGCAGTGGGATGTATATCAATCATTCAATCAATCTCTTTATTGATCAACAATAAGTTGTGTACGAATGTTACAGCAAAGTCCCTATTATATTGCTAAGCCTTACTAATTAAACAAAAGATAAAATAAATTAACGAATAAACGTCTTTGTACCATTCTTAACTGTTAATTTTTCTACGTACTTAACAATCAAAATTCATCAAAAATATTCAATAATATATATTATTTACATTAAACCCTTTTTTAATTCTTTTTTTATTAAATGTTACATCCATATTAGGATTTTCTCCTGTATCGTAAGGGTAGCTTACGAATATAAATTTCACAAGGACAAACATCCAGACCCGGAACAATTATTTGTAGGCCATCCAAATACTTGTTCCGTGCGGGATTCGAACCCGCGGCCCTCAGCGCTGTCACTCATTGTTAAGCTACTGCGCCACGGAGCAACAATTAATAAAAAAACTAGCAAATGTCAACTTAGTCTTTTTTTGTAACTTTTATATAAACAAATATTTTAAATAGATATACATTTATCTAGAAGTAGTGACTACAATTGTGTGTTTAAAAGTACTTAACTTTTTTATTTCTTTTCGTTTTTAGGCATCTTCTTAAAAAGTAAGACTACCCATAGACTTAGGATCGTAATGGATGGACATAGTGTACAAGTGGGAAGAAAATTCCTTATGACAATATAGCAAAATAGAAAAAGATAGCAAATGTCATGGCTTTGTAACCTGTTTGGCTGTGTAATTTTGAATGACAGGTCGGCACAAGTCGGCACGCAAGGAATAAGCTCCTAGATATTTTGTTATTTTTTAAAGTATAATTGCTATTATTTTTAGTAAGTAATTGTTTTCAAAATGGTTACACTTGTTCTGCGAGTGACCGTGGGAAATAATCCTGATAATTGCACATTTCACAGGTAAATTCTCAAGACGTCGTCAATAATCAGATGCGTCTATTCTTCGTTAAAATTTATGTTGTATACTATATAAATTATGGAATATTTTCAATTATATTATTAATTTTGATACTTTTCATAGAAAAAAGTCACGTTGTTGATAATTTTCATGACTTTGCTAAATACAATTTTATACAAAATATTTTACATGTAGGTACGCTAGGGACTGACTTAAATATAATATTGTTATAAGTAATAAGACTTCAAAAATTTAACTTCAAAAACTTATGGTAAAAACAAAGATAGATTTTTATACTTTATTTGAAGATGTATCTATTTGTCGACTGAAAAAATGTGTAACCTTACTTAACCACCCGTCCCACTCGGCTTATATTCTTAAGTCACAATTATATACCTTAGCGTAGTGAGGTATAAATATTATTTGTTGTGATAAATTCTGTGATAAGTCTGAACATATATTAATCATAATTAAATTATACGAGAATGTATAGAACAAGAGTGTACAACGTAACAAAACGTGACAGATACAGGTTTAATTCTATGTTGAATGATGGTGACGCTGTGGACAGTGTGAATATAGGGGGTAGCTCGCTGCGCTTCACAAGTAATGTATGAAGAGTGGGATATACAATAAGCAATATGAAGAAGATGAAAAGAGTGAATTTATTGTTTTCAGAGGTTAAACAAACCACCTGACTTCGAACCACGTATCCAGCTATGTGGGACTGCTCTGAGAGAAGTGGCTGAGTTGAGGTACCTCGGACATATTGTAGCTGAACGCCTGGATGACAATAGTGACATTGAACGATAGTGCCGAGCGTTGTCGGTCCGGAGTAATATGTTTTCTCGCAGATTTGCACGTAGTACGACTCAAGTCAAGTTACTTTGTTCAAGGCGTATTGCCAATCATTTAGTTATAACACCAAGAAGTAAACATTTCATACCTATTTAGTTGCAAATAAAGAATTTGAAATTTAATTTGAAAAAAAAAATTCAATTTTACACGTGCAGTCTGTGGAATAACCATACGCAGCGAGCCTACAGTGCCTGCATGTTCAGTATAACAATACGCTGAGGGTGATGTTGAGGAAGTCTCGACACCGCAGTTCGTCGGCTATGTTTGCGAATGCTAGTGTGGACGACTTCTACGCGATCATGCACAAGCCTGCCGCGTCGATGATGTACAAGCTAGTACAAGCTATTGAGGAGCTTCAACACCCTTCTCAGAACATTGGCTGTGAAACTGGATAGCCCTCTCTGGAGGACTTGGAATGGTGCACACACCAACACCAGGAAAACCCCAACTGGGTTTCGCTATATGAGGCTGGGTATAGGATAAGTTGCTACTAACATTTTAATATTAATCTATGACTATTGTTGGTCGAAATAAAGCACTTTATTAATTTATTATTATTAAAACTAAAACTGCTGCAAAAGAAAAAAAACTACAAATACGTATGGGTCAAGCACGGGAATATATTTGTGAGAAAAATCGATACATCGCAAGTCTACAATATAAAATCGGAATCGGACCTAGTCAAGCTGCGTTAACTTACAAATACTCCTTTGTTTATTTATTTTCCAACAACAGTCAAACACAGTTTGAGAACCGGTTTCTTTCCGCCTTATCACAGTCTTTTGTCTGCAGTTACGCCTAATACCCACCTGTTTAAATCGTTGTGTGCATGCAATTTGTGTTCCTATTATCTTTATACCAGGGATCACTTCTCA